GACCTTTAATGCTATACCCCGATAGATTTCCGTATGCTGGAAAATCATTAATTGTGCCAAACAACATCGCCCTCAAATTGAAACTTTCTTTCCTATATCCATCATAAACCTCCACGTCGTTCTTCCACAAACTCTTTAAGTCTTCGATTAAAGGTGTCAAGTATACGTCTATGTCATTTCCTAGTTGTTTAGGGCCAGAAATTAACATAGATAACATCATGTACTTACGCTTCATACATAGCCATGGAGGTAGGTTATAAATCATAATAATTACAGGCCATGTGGAATGTGAGATACTTTGCAGACCATGTGGATTCATTTCATCAGTCAATAATGCCAAGCGAAGGTTTCTAGCTTCTTCTCCAAAATCAGGATACTCATTATCAATTTTCATCCACTGTGGTGAATCTGCCGGATGTCGATACTTCCCATCTATAATTCTATCATTTGTATGCCAAGTCAGGTGTTTTGCATCTGTTTCACTACGAAACATGCGTCTAAATCTCAGAATTATAGGAAAATACCATAAGACTTTTGCTGGTGACAACTTTTTCTTATACTGAGATACACCGCATTTAGGACATTCGTTTAATGATGCATATTCATTTCGAAACAAAATGCAATCATATGGACAAACATGTATCTTATCATAGCTCATGCCAATAGAGCATAACATTTTTTTAGCTTCATAGGTTCGATTGGGAAGAACATTATCCTCCGGAAGCATCTCTTGTAGTAGGGCTAACAACTCTCTGAAACGTTTATCCGATCATCCATTACCCGCCTTTAAGTTGTACAACTTTAATACCGCGAACAATCTTGTGAAAATAGTGCAACCTTTATACAACGGTTTCTCTGCATCGCTTACCAACCTCTCAAACATCTTGGGACAATCCTGAAGATCTTCCTCAAGTGCTTCTGCAATCTCTTCGACTGATCACAATCATATGTATCCCTGCCATTGTCCTTTGAAGCATAGGTCGTATTATCCCCGGGTTCGACATTCTCGTTACTTATCTCATCATGTAATGTCCAACATGTATAACTTCGATCAATTCCATGTCTCATTAAATGAGATTCCAACTGAACGGCGTCAATCCGACGCCCATAACAGCAACCTAAGCAAGGATATGCGATCCTATTGGGGTCTTTGGCGTGTTCAACAGCAAACTTAATGAATTTCGATACCCCATTCTCGTACTCTTTTGACAATCGATTAGAATATATCCATTTTTTATCCATACTAATTAAGTAGTCTAAACTAAACTAAGAAAGTTAAACAAAAACAGCGAATACCTGTAAAGAAATCACCAACTTCTAAGAAAGCTACACAATAGGATTATTGGAAACGATCACAACCTTGCTCTTCACAGATAACCCCTATAACAGACAAAATTAATAACATAATCAACATTAAATAATTCTTGTAACATCAATTGTTGATAAAACTTGCAATAATGTAACAACTTCTTATATAGTTGATAATTTCTTTTAATAAGGAACAAAATAAAATACCATAAAATGAGGAACAAAATAAAATACCATAAAAAACGAGAAAACTTAATGAAAGTTATACCTAACATATTTTTTACAAATTAAAATTCTCTTTAATTCTAATAGGGATAGAAACAAAAGTAATTAAAAAATATGCACTGCTACTTATATTAGCAAAAAAAAATCAACGCAAAAATTCTCTTAACATAACTAACTTCAGTTCAAGCTCCAAAACTAACCAGTAGTTCTAACTATTCCTTAACACTAACTCCCTAATGACTAACCTTCAATCTCTCACTATCCTAATTTCATCTAAGTACTGTTATTATGAAGCTCCAAAAACTAACTTCTTCATGAAATTCTTGAAATGATATTTGGAGATCTTACTATTTGAAAATACAAACAAAATAACAAATTGGTTGACTAATTATGGAGATCAACCAATATTCCTAATTCACACGGAAAATCCAGAATATAAAACACATCACATAACTGATTCTAATCAAATTTTCAAAGTACCGACAATAACATGTTAACACATGCACAAATATTTGTCCTAACAAAGTAATGTACCTTCCAAAATTAAGTCAAAATCTTGTAAAACACTCTTTGATTATCAACAAAAATTCTCATTTACAATGGTGGTTAACATTGTTAGTTTCTTCCCTTATTTTATTCTATTCCCACAATAATAACAATAGTTATTCATTCAATAAAAGAGTATTGAGAAGAAAATGTGCCAAGTCAACTTAAGTTTGATTGTTTGTTCTTGCATACCCAAAATCGTATTGTTAGGTAGTTCAATCCAAAGAAAAATGAAAAACTTCAAAAAAAACGTACCGTAAAAATGGTGGAAATGCGCTACATAATGACGGACGGAGGCGAAAAGGACGACGGCGAAAACGGACGGACAAACGGCGGCGAAAGGAAATGCAGACGGAATGAAGGGAGGACGGCGACGGACGGGGGATGTCGGACGGAGGGAATGACGTTTTCGGTCGTGGTGAATAGGGCAAGTTCGCGAGAGGAGAAAGAAGGAAAGAAGAATACGCAACTGTTATGTTTCTGGAAAAATTCTGGTGGGTATTTTAAAATTTATTCTCATTAAACCTATAGCAGCGCTTTCTTAGGGCCTTTAGTAGCGCTTTGAAAAGCGCTCTCTAAGGTATGCCTTAGGCAGGACCTATAGCAGCGCTTTCTATTATACCCCTTATAGCAGCGCTTCTGTAGAAAGCGCTTTCTTAGAACCCCCCCCCCCCCCCCAACCCCCCCAATTTAGCAGCGCTTTCTTAGACCCCCCCCCCCCCCCCCCCCCATTTAGCAGCACTTTTAGAAAGCGCTTTCTTAGACCCCCCCCCCCTTTAGCAGCGCTTTACAAAAGCGCTTTCTTAGGGCATGCATTTAGCAGCGCTTTTTATTAAAGTGATGTCTAAGGTTTGCTTTTTTTTTCCCATGACTCTTTAGCAGCGCTTTTTCATAAAGCGTTGTCTTTTTATGCGCTGCCAAAAGTCATTTCTGACATAGTGTTGGGTTCAATATCTTTCTCATTACTTCAATGAAGCCTTTAGCTTCTATATTTATACATGCATGTATAAGTTAGGAGTTAGTTACTTCAAGTGTAAGAATCATAACTAATTTTCTAACTACTTTCTATCTTATATAACTATGTATACTCTGACATTTACAATTCTTTAATTTACTCATAAAAGTATATAAGTGATAACTCTATTAGTGAAAAATCATAAAATTGCAGTTGAATGCTCTATAATTGTGTATATATTCTCTTTGATGATCATCACCTTATATTTGTTCCGATTTATTCTGTATTTAAGAGTCGTTAAAGATCATTTAAGATGATTCTTCTTAATTACTGTGATGTAATTGAAATTAGACTTTCTTATTAATTGAAACCATACTTTTTTTATTGATCGTAGAATTAAATAGTCATAAATTTCTTATAAATTTTAATTTGAATATTCCCTCTATATTAGTTTTGTTTAGTCCAATCAGTTTGTTCCATCAACTACTTTTGACGGGGCCTTGTTCTATTGAATGAACTTTAATTCGAGGCAAATTCTATTAGTTTAGACTATAATTCGGTCCACTCTTGACAACTCAACCCAATAGATTGGACATGCATGTTTATATTTTTTTTTACATATTATTAATAAAACATAAATTAGTAAATCATCTAATAATTTTTCTTTGTCTTATAAAATTAACTATATTTTTTCATTTATTTAAAATAATCAAAATATATTATAATTTAGGGTCATGCTAACCAATGTCTCGGAAGTATTGGTTAAGAATTTCAAACAGAAAAAATAGGTTATGTTTAATTTATTTAATACACACAATATTCTTTAAAAAATAATTGATCTATTAGATTAAAAATTAACATCAAATACATTAATTTTTCAGATATTTTATCTGCCTAAAATTATTCATGTGATATTGGAAAAGTAAATTAAAAAAAATTAAAATAAAAGAAATAATAAATATTGAATGGTATGAAAAAAATTAAGTTAATAATTCATTAAAATTTCATTTGGTTTTTATAATAAATAATATATTTATATTTTATAAATAATTGATATATATATATATATATATATATATATATATATATATATATATATATATATAGTTAAGAACAACTAAAGAAAAGTAAAAAGTGAGAGTACAAAACAATATTCCAATAACAACTCAACAAGTATGTTAGGGAATAATATTTAATTGTATTATTATAAGAAGAAAGAAATCCAAACAGCACATCTTGGGTAAGAAAGAATCACAATATCACCATGCTTAGCTGGCAAACCAATCATAAAGTGCCAAAACATTAACACATTTTCATATATAAATATATTGCCTATGTGGATATTTATTACATTAATCCACCTCCTTAAATCCTCAATCATTGAACCTCTTTCTCTCACTAAATTCTCTTTCTCTCTCTACAATTCTATATTCCCACTACAATTATTTTTTGGTATATAGTTGAGTGCACATTTGTGGTGGAGAAACAAAAAAACAATCTCTTTGTTTCTTCTTACAAAGTTCCTCTGTCTTCAAAGCTATCTTTTCTTTCCTACAATAAAAATACAAACTTTGTGGTATTATTGTAAAGAGATTGAAGAAAGCTATAAAGGGTTTTTTCTGTGAGGCAAAAGTTTAATTTTTTTTTTTGAAATGGTTTTCATGTCTGAGATTTTGACCATAAAAGAAGAAAAAATTGAAGAAGAAGGTGAGTGGGAGAAAGAGCGATAAGAAAAAGAAGTTTATATAACCCAATAAGCAGAAGTAGAGAAAGATTATTAATCCAATTTGATTTTGCTTTTGATCTGCTTCTGCTGGTAATTTTTATCAAATTTCATGTTAATTTTCATAGTTTTTATCACATATTCATAACTTTAATACTGAGTTTATGGTGTAGTTTTGGTTTAATTATTTTCATTTTTCTTGTTTGATAATTGATTTTTTTTTTCATTATAGGGTGGTTGAAAATGTCTGCAACAATAATAAGTGATTCAATGATGATAACAGCACCAGAAACTCAATCAACAACTAGTAGCAATCTAGTTGCACAGAATGAAGTTGAATTTGCAGTATGTGAATGCTGTGGACTAACAGAAGAGTGCACACCAGCATACATAGAAAGAGTCAGAGAAAGGTATCAAGGAAAATGGGTTTGTGGATTATGCGGTGAAGCTGTTAAAGATGAAATTGTAAGGTCAGAGAGACTTGTTAGCACAGAAGAAGCAATGGCAAAACATATGAACTTTTGCAAAAAGTTCAATACTTCAGGTCCTCCTCCAAATCCAGCTGTTCATTTGATTTCAGCTATGAGACAGATTCTTAGGAGGAGTTTGGTTAGGTCTACACCAAATAGTCCGGTTAATAAGAGTAGTAGAGAAATTCATGGCTCTGGACTTGCTAGGTCTGAAAGCTGCTTCTCTACTCTATCCGGTTCGTGAAGGACCTCGGGCTAACACAGACACCGGACATAGACATTGACATTGACGCCGGTAAATAATTGAGAAAATTGAATGGTTTAATATAACCTGCTATTGTCAATGTGTCAAGGTCGTGTTAGGGTCAGGACCGAAGATGCATTCATCGGTCATCAGAAGTGTCTGTGCTACATAGTTGAAAATAGAAGAAAATGCGACAAAGGGAATATACTGTATTTGGTTGGTTGAAAATGCAAAAGTTGAAAAGAAATAAAAACAGAAATCTTTAGCTTCAAGTTAGAGTCTCCATTGTAGTTATGCATTACATAACTTTCAAGCTGTTGTTTAGAAGTTTGATTTGAACACAATTTGCTCAAATTTTTTGCTTCTCTATTATTACTTGTTACTTTTTTTATTCAATTGTTTAAAAAATGATTGATAGTCGAAGACAATAGTAAATTGGACAAAACTACCACTTTTGTTGAATTGTTCCAAAGTGTAATCATGGAATTCAACTACTCTTGTCTTTATACAAATTGGTTAAACTTGGTTGAGACCTGTTACAGTTGTTTTAAAGTGATTAAATATAAAAGTACTTATTTGAGCATCAATAATTGAGTTGTCCAAACTTGCTTAAATAAATAAGTAATCATTGGTGCAGTATAAAATTGACTAATCTACTTTTGGCCACTTGAGAGCTTAATGGAGAAATGATGCTTGTAGCATTTGTTTTAAGTTGGGTCAGCTACACATTTCAATGTGACTTTGTCTTCTTGTTTTGTCAATTATAACCATTCTTACAATGGTATATTCTTAAAATACAAAGAGAATATATGTATGCAACATTTTTCATTTCATGGCTCCTTTGCACATGATGCCGTCAGCGATATCAGTCGATATTTATCATAGCGATGAATCTAAATAGCGAGTCACTATTGATACTCACTTACTCTGAAATTAGCAATTTAGACCTATTTAATTCAACTAAGATATATCAGTTGAGTTATATATTAAATTTTTTTAGGGAAGATAACTTTATACCTCAATTTACCACCTCATCATAGAAGATTAGTTTTTCTACTAGATTCAATGTTTGTTGGTCTGAAAATGGAAATTTGACATAGGAACAAATTAAAATGATGATTGTGCATATGGTAGTTGAAGGGTCTGAAAACTTTCTGGCACCATACACACAAAGTTGATTGATGCCAACTAAGTTTGTGCCAGATAGAAATGTTGTTTGGTGATTATGCAAAATGGAGGAAGGTTCTGGAATATAAGGATGCAATCATGTGTCAGGTGGACCTAACTCAAAGGTTTCTTCTTAGGGTATGATGATCAGTAACAGCATAAACCCCCACATAGTTCCAACTCACCCATTTTCAATCAACACATCATCATGTATCCTAGCTAAAAAACTTGATCATGAAACTTTAATAATTAAAAGTTAAAAAAAAAAAATCATAATTCGATATTCTGTCGAAAACTAACATTTCTTTATGTGGAAATAAGGAGTTGAGGTGTATAAGTGAGCTGTATTCAAATCGTATATAACAATTTCTATCTATTAACTGTATTTAAATATTTCAAAAAATATATAGGAAGCTTTATATTTTATTTTATTTTGAAATTTTTTAAAGCAAAATTCCCTAGCAACTCCATTATTTCACTTGTGAATTGGTCTTCTTACATTACAATTAGAAATTTGTATACAGTTGACACAAATATATACATGCATCATGTATTACTTATTTTCAATCATAATCAATATACGCAAGATTTGAATAATGTTAATGACAGGTAGGATGAAAGGTAATATAGTATTAAAAAATGAAATGTTATTTTCGTTGAAAATGGTTGGTGAGTTACTCTCAGAAAAATAAACACCCTCTAATAAAAGTCCAAACTCTCACATCAATTGATATTTTTTTTCCTTCCTTCAGGGAAAAGTAGTTGATCTAATTCTCCATTATCATATAGGATCCTTCGCAATGCTCTAGCGCATGGTTTAGTATAAAATATGTTAAAGTGATTTATTTAAAATAAATGGGGAAATTGATATTAATTAAAGGAGAATAATAATGTTTGCGTGACTGAAGGTTGTGACCAACCTTAAACATTTCTAATAAATATTTGATTCTCTATTTTAAAATCAAATTTATTGATCACCTATATTTTTTTAGAATTTTAGTTTACTTTCTAATTAAAATCAAATTTTAAATACATGAAAGGTCACTTGATGACGTGTTAATGTCATATTTATAATAATTAATCCAATGTCATATTTATGATAATTAAATCAATGTGATTTTTTAATATAATTATATTATAAATTATTATATTAAAAAAAAATTAAAAACCTAAAATAAATAATAATGAAGTTTTAAATCATTTATTTATTTGACAGAATAATTTTTAATTATATTTCCTTACTTATAAGTAGGACTGACAATGAACCGAACCAACTCGAAAATAATTCGATTCGACAATTAAATCGTTGAACTAGGTTCATGAAATCAAATGAGTTGAGTATGAGCGAAAAATTAAGTTCGTTAACTAAATGAGCTGAACTTGAACTATACATAGTTCGACTCGTTAGGTTCATGAGTCAACTCGATTACATATGAGAAGAATTATACTGTCTTTAAGATTAGGTTTAAATATTTACTCCAAATCTTAGACAAATTTGATCTTCAATTTAGTAGTTTTTGAATTAGACTCTCAAATGTATCTCTTGAAAGTTGTGTAGGTTTTGAATTAGTAGATTTCGAAGATAAAGTTAAATTTCAATATGATAACTTGTATTTTATTTTAATATTTTATTTAAAAATATATATTTATTTAAAATATCAAATATACTAAAAAATATATATATGTAAAAAAAATAGTCTATAAGTCCGTGAATCATGTGAGCTGAATCTAATGAGATGAACCTAACGAGTTGAATCGAACTGTTCGTGAACTTATAACGAGTCGAGTTTGAACTTAAAAAAAAGTTTGTGTTGAACTCGAACTCGAACTTGAACAATTCTTAACGAGTCGAGCCGAGCTGAAGTAAATTCGACTCGACTCATTTCTAACCCTACTTATAAATATTAATTAATTAAATTTATAAAATAAAATTTTGGTAATGAGTTGGTTCAAACTCCAACCTCTTAAAATGTTAGAGGCCCAATAAACTTGCCGCTACACCACTACATATTTTTTACATTTTATCCTACCACCCCTGTTACATTTGACACTACCACCCCTGTTACATTTGACACCCCCGAAAAAATTTATAACGACAAATACAGCATTCGCATTATATATGTAAAAAAAAAAATTCTCGGTAAAATTCGGTTAAAAACTAAAATCTGGAAGTTATTTTCATATATCTAGTGCGACAATTTTCGTAAGAGTGGATTTTTATTTTGGAAATTTAAAAATTCGGTATAAGTTTTTGTTGTTTTTTTTTAAAACATTCAGATATTTTTTAAAGTTTTACATAATATTTCGGAAAAATCTAAAATTCCTTATAGTTTTATTGGATATTTATAATATAAAAAAATTCAGAAACCCTTAGTTGTTTTATCGGATATTTTGTAAAAATTCGGAAATATTTTGAAGTTTTATCGGATTTTTTGGAAAAATTTGAAACTTGTAGGATTATAGCTTTGTTATTATCAGAGATTTCAAAAAATTCGAAAAACTTTGTTGTTTATATTTTTTTTTGTTGGAAAATTCCAGTATAGTAGATTATTTGCATAAACCTGAAAATTTGGTGGTTCATTATACTTCAATTGTGCGGTCCTGATCCTTGATGGTTCCCCTGTAGATTTTACTCAGTTCTTCATCATTGACGCAATATGTTTTACATACATGTTTAACTTCTAAATAGTTCAAATAATAATAGGCTTATGATATCTCTAACATTGATAATTTATTCTGTACATATTGTAAATGTCAGACATTTCCCTCTCGGACTGACATTTTGGCATGGACGTAGTCTATTGGTAAACAACGTGATATTATTATTGTAACTATTCGTTATGATACTGCAAATGGGATGAGAGGGAGGAAAGATAAATTGATTATAAATTGTGATAGAGGATGACATTACAATAACAAGAATGTGATTGAAGGAAATTATAGTATGAAAGTAAAATGTCCATCTATGTTGAGATATGTGCCAAGTGGATGCGATTGGAAGGTTACGATTATGTGTGGGTTTCACAATTATATGCTAGCTGAGGACTTAGATGGCCATGACATACTAGATCATTTAAAAGATCATAAAAGAAAGTTTGTGAATGACATGATCAAATACAACATGGCTCCTAGATACATAGTTGCTGTTGTGAAAGATAGAGATCCACAAAACCTAACGAGTGTTACTCAGGTGTACAAGGCAAGGTATTAATACAAGATGAGTAAGAGAGTTCTGTTGAGACAAACGTCATGACATCTTATCCCACATTACACTTCTTCAACATTTGCTTTACCCAGAGTAACTTCGTATAATGGCTTATTCTAGTAGAGAGTTCAGCTTCATCAAATGATAAGGTTACATTGATTTGCTCCATGCTTTTCTAAGGTGGTATGACATTGACAAAGAGGAAGGCATCATTCACTATCTTCAAAGACTACCTTCAATTGTTGAACCACTTCTTCAAATGTCCAAACTTATTTTGACAACCATATCTCTTTCAATACTATGTCAACCAGTCTTTTTTGAATTTTGAACATAATGACCAAGATATTTGCATCATTATTTGATTCAGATAGAAGCATTCTAGATTCTTCGTAGTAACCAAGAACTGTTAGCTCGTTCTTTTTCTATGTTGGTGACTTATTTACCACAATGACACTCAAGATGTTTGAAATTATGCTTTGTTTGAAATTCAGGATGATATCAAACATCTTTTATCTTGCTTAATTAAAATTCAAACTGCATCTAATGAACAACATGTTCCACCATGTTGTCTGACAAGTCAACAACACACATGAGAACTTTATCATTTTCTTTCACAATGAATTCCTCC